TAAAAAGCCAAGTACTATCACTGTGCTGAAGGACTCAGCTTAAAGACCAAGATTACTCCTAGTCACCCTCAAAGTATTAAGTGGTCCAAACTTCCCACTTAAGAGTTATAAAGTCACACTCCTCAGTTAAAGACACTTGAATAATCAAGAGAGCACTGTAGGAGACAATAACAGAAAAGTTATTGTAGAGTGTTTGGAAGCAATAATTAATATTGCAAGAAGTAGCTGGCAAGCACCTGAGCTGAAAGGCTACAGTCAGAGGTGGTGGTCTTGCAGCAACTACTTTTTAAGGAATTACTTAAGTGTTGAGTCTGGGATAACTCTCAGCTTAATAATAATTCCAGTAAGAAGGTAGGGTTGGATTGGATGATAAAAAAGACTACTCTAAAAGTAGGTGGAGAATATTCACTGTACTCACTTAGTTTGTTGGGGGTGAATGTGCTGAGGAACCAATACTAGGCAGGAGAAGGCCTCCTTACATATTCTAGAGGTCCCCTTGAGGCCCTCCTTAGAATATTCTAGAATCTCTCTTTTAGTGTACCATGGTAGAATTATTCCCCTGATGTAATGGGAATAATTCAAGGTATTTCAAATAATGTATATTCTATGTCCCATGACATCATGATGCATATTTATAGCCAATTACATCATGTGTCTCCTTAAATAGAATATTACTGGTAGAAAGTGCCACACTCTTGACATAGTGTGGTAATTTCTTTTCTACAAGTTTTAATAAATTGATTATGCTTGTAGAATAAAATTTCTAAGGTTACCCTAAATGTATATTTAACCCTAATTTAATATACATTAATTTTATTCTATAAATTTATATATTTTATTCCTTTTGTCCTTCAAGAGTTTGAATATATACAAAGTCCTTGAAGGAGTGGGAATTTGGGGATACTTCCAGTGGACAACCCCCTTTATAATCTTATGAAATATTGTTTTATTAAATAATATTACTACATATTATATTACATGTGGAGTATTTTAATACTTAATATTCATTTAGCAGTCTTTTGGATACTCTGGAGTATCTCTAAGGCTGACATGTATTGCACTATATAGCCAAAACCAAACCTAGGACAAGAAAAGATCAGAATCA